ATGCAGTAAATGACGACAGCTGCTATAACTGCTGAACTAAAAGGGAGCTCTATCCAAGAATAATGAATATTTCTCATTGCATTTCAGAAGTGCATGCTTTGCACATGTGAATTTGGGTCTTAACTCAGTCAGCCCTATGAATCCCTCAGTTTACTGCATAGTAGCATTAAGATGAACTAATTAAATGTCTAAAGATAATTGTGTGCATCCAAGCAAGGCAGCCCCAAGTAGCAAAATCCTCAGCAAAGTCTCAAGCTGGATCAGGCAGAGCCGCCTGCAGCACCTCAACTCTGTGGGGCTCGCCCAGCCTGCTGAGGGCATTGGTGCTCCTGCCGTAAACGTGCCTGCTGCCACCACTGGGGCAAGAAAGCCATTCAGCTTCCCATTGCCATGTGTAACAGTCTGGCTGCTTGTGCTGGTGGTTTTTGTGCTGTGACTACCTTTCCAGCAGGAATTGGACTGAGATCACTGGCTTATTCCAGTCTAGCCACTGAAAGGCTGCCTGTTTATTAAAACCATACTCCCTGTGAAATGCATCTTTGTCTATGAAATGGCATGACCATTACATAATAAGTTTGTGATTTATGGCTGTCAGATAGTGTGTTTGCAGTAGGCAAAGCAGTAAGTCTTGAGGGACCAGGATTTGCTAGCCCAAGGCCGTCCATCTCCAGGAGCTTTCATGCTTGCTTTCTCCATTGAAACACAATAATTGATGGGACTTAGGTTCTTGGAAAGTGAACACTGCTATTTCCACCAGTGAATGAGGCAACCCAAACCAGCAGAAGCATCTAAAAGTGTACCTAGACACCTGCCAGGGGTGATAAGGAAAGCTACCTGGGTTATCTCTAGAGCTCAGGTATTGAAAGCAGTCTAGCTGTGGTAGGCTGGAGCTCCATGGACATTTATTTTCCCGACTGAGAACTGCTTGAGGCTCTGGTTCCACAAACACCTCTCTCTGTGGCAATTCTGGCTCCAGCAGGTCATGCTGCCACCGCCAGGGCCGTTTGCGGCAGTCTCTACACTGCCCTCCTTGTTCTGCACTGAGGGGTGGCAGCAGGATGGGAGCAGGCAGCAGCGAGCCAGAGTGGGCATTGCCTGCTGACGTTGACTCCGTGTCCTGGAGAAATGTGTGTGTAACCACAGCCCCAGCGGCAGGATGAATAAGCTTATGTGGGAGCCTATGACTAAATCATTCTGGAAAATAGGCTCTAGGCTCTTTTGAAAACGTTACCTATTGCTGGTAGGGACTAGAGGTCTTAAAGGAAAGGCAAAAGGCTATTGAGTGTACTTCTTAAATGTATAGCGTCATGTATCAAAGAAATCATCAGCACAGCTGCTGCTAGCTGGAAGATGTGAACTTTCTCAGCAAGTAATTGATGGCCGTAGAGATTACACTGGCCTCTCTAAAGTAGTCCCTGGTGTTCATCTGATCAGTGCCAAGTACAGTAGCAGTTGATCTGTGTGCCAAGAACCTCTCTCTTCTGTTACCTGGGTTAAGCCTATTCCCTGAATGCAAAAGGAACGTTTCATAAGTATTGAAGCCCAAGCAAAATTAAAAAAAAAAAGAAAAAAAAGAAAAAAAAAGTGGGTGTCAGAAAGTTAAAAAAAGAGGTCTAATGTGTTATATCAGTTTGTCTGATAATGCTGGCTGTGAACTGTTGCTTGCTCATTGATAGTGTGTTGTGGAAGTTTGCAATGTCTGAGAACAGCAGACAAAGCTAAATTCCAGTGAGTCAAGTAAATAATCCAACCAGCTCCATACCAGTCAGGCTACAAGTATTAGTATCCATTGGCATGCGTGATACCAGTGTGTTATCAGCTGATGTCATTAAGGTGTGATGCAGTAAAATACCTATATGACTCTGTGTAAGTACCATTATATATATGGTTAGTGAGCAACACCCCACACTCCCACTCCCGCCTGCATACAGGTGCCCACCCAGCTCCATATATTGTATCTTGAAAACCTTCACTTGCAAGTTTGCCCCTATGTGGTATGACAGAGAAACTCCCACTTTTGCACTAAACCCTGGAAATTATGCACCGAAGAAAGCGAAGACATATTGCCTTCTGTCGTTGGTCTGTCATTGGTTTGACAAAGGCAGGTGACAAGAGGCTGATACTTGTTAGCCTTTTTACAATATAAATCTGCCATTCATCACTGTCCCTATGGCTAGGACTCCAGAACTGTGTCTTGAGCAGGCAGGGCCGTGTACTGAGGTGATTATTGTGGCTGGCCTTCACCAGGACCAGCAACCTCTGTCAGGAGTTACTTCACAAGCTGTCTTTTACCAAAAAGAAAAGCAAGCAAAACCCTTGAAGGTGAGATGTGGAAAACTTTGTCATGCCTGTGGCCAAGCACCCCACTCTGCAAGGTCATCAGATGTCCCCTGATAACTTGGTGCTTCCTGGAAGGCTTTTATAGCGTGTGGGTGAGGTGCTGGTGGTGAACAGCCTGCGTGTTTTTTACTGAATTGGGCTTAAACTCAGTAGTAGTGGACACTGGAGGTACCTAAGCCAGTAACAGTCTCGTTATCAACCTCTTCTGCTGCTGTGGCCATTTTTCCATCATTTTTTTTAAAGTGCATGGGGTAATCTAATTAATAATTAGCATCAGCTGGGCCCCGTTTTTGGCTGGGGGTGTAGGAAGTGTGACCTGAACAAGGAAAGGGACAAAGAAGATGAGAGGAGAAAGGAACAACAGGCATGTCCTGAAGCTGCTGTGCAGACAGGGAGGGGGCGAGGAGAGAAGGCGAGCCAGGCCGGAACTAGGCCCCAAACCTCGCAACTGTGGAAAGCTCTGTGGCTGTCACAGGTTCTCGCTTTAGCTGCCACTTCTGGTGTACTCAGCATAATTTTATGGACAAGTCTTTGCTAATTACACTTTGTTTTTTTGTGTTACAATTTTTGCTGAGCGTATCCAGAGAAGGGCTACGGAGCTGGGCCTGGACACAAGTCCTGTGAGGAGCAGCTGAGGGAACTGCAGGTTTTTGGTCTGGAGGAGGCTGAGGAAAGACCTCATTGCTCTCTACAGCTACCTGAAAGGAAGGTGTGGGGAGCTGGGGGTCGGCCTCCTCTCACAAGTGATAGGACTAGAAGGAATGGCCTCAGGTTGTGCCAGGGGAGGTTCAGGTAGGAAATGAGGAGACATTTCTGCTCAGAGAATTGTGAGGGATTGGAACGGGTTGCCAAGGGAAGTGGTGGTGTCACCATCCATGGGGATGTTCAAGGAAAGGTTGGACGTGGTTTAGTCAGTGACATTGGTTGTAGGGGGATAGTTGGACCGGATCATCTTGAAGGTCTTTTCCAACATTAATGATTCTATGATCACGTTATGGCACTGGGGTAGTAGGCAAATTTCATACTCTGCTGCAAAAGCATTTTTCCTAAATGTCGTGGCTCATAAGAGCCTGCAAGCTTACCTGCCATAGCAGCAGTTAAGAGACCCACAAAAAAACACCACAAACAGGAGGACTGATTTCTCACTGTATAAAGTGTGCGTGACAGGAGCAAAGCAGATCAGCCATTGGGGAGCAAGCAAAACCAGAATTTGAGAAATTATTATTTTCCAGGCAACAGAGCCAAGTTCAGATTCTTTCAGGCACTTATTCCAGTTACATTGATCAGAAAATACCTGCTCTCCCTGAGGTGTGTGATTTCCATTGTTGAATTATAAACTTATGCACTCAACCATATGGCCCATGTCCCCCTGACCCCATCGGGAACAGTTACATAGCTTCTGTCAGAGCTGGCTTGCAGGGTTGGGCTGGCGGGATTTCCAGATTTGGGACAGCAAGTTTCTGCTCCATGACCCCACCTTTTTGCAGCCCTTCTGGTACGCACAGAAGCACATCCTTTCCCAGCACTTGTGTCCAGCGCTAGATTTCTCACTAACCCAACAGAGAACAGAGTTGGCCTCTTAGACTTTGGTTTGCCTACATTTGTTTTTGCAGATTCAGCGTACATGTTTTGTCAGCAAGCAGGACACACAGACTCGCAGGATGCGCACGTATGAGCACTCATTGCTTACATGGGCTCATACTGTATTGTGAACTTGGCTAAACCACAGCAATTAAGATTTAGCTTAATGTCCAGTAATGAATTTAACTGTTCTGTTTCATAGTAGAGGAGTTCACAACTCTATCCATTAGCAACCTTCTGAATTATCACTGCAATTTTTGAAACTAAAGGCATTTTGGAAATAAATAAATAAATGAAAAAGCATCATTAGTTCAAACTATTAATTTTCTGCTCTCCTTCAGCTTTGGTATACTTCTTGTTTAGAGACAGACATGTATGTACATTTGCATTCACACACATGCACAGATACATACATGGGTGTGTAAATATATATATATATAATATGTATATATAAAATATATACACGTGTGTTCCATTTATATTCCCATATATGTTTGCCTGGAACATACAAGAAATGTCAGCGAGTTTGTACTTCTCTAAAATGTTTTAGAGCTCACCAGTGATACATCATTACTGATGATTTATTCTTATTACAGAAGTGTCTATAGAACCTAACCTAACTGCTTAACTGCCTTAAGCAGTCTTCAAAAGGTTCCTAGTTTGATGCAAATGCTTTAGAAAGGAGGTGAAAAGGAATATAGATGTAAGGATTACAAAACAGACTAGTGGTTTAGCTGGAAATAAATTTTGGTGTCCTGACTATTACCTTTTAATTCCTACTGGCTTCGTGTATTGCTCCGTGATGAATCATTTGTCACCAGCAGAATTTGTCTGAATGAACATTATCACAGATCTCTTTGATGCTCAGTCCTGTAGGGCTCCATGCACTTGATGGCAGCCTTCATAAACTCTTCCTGCTCTACTGAGTTTCAGACAGTGAATTTACCCCGCTCATGCTGTGATCAGATGAGACGGTGCTTTTCCCTCAGCACTCAGTCCAGGGTCCCTCTGAGTTCCAAAGATGTGAGTTGACTTTTATTCCGATTATTTGTCATTTTCACATGCTTCTTCATTTCCAGGTTCCAGAAGAAGCTTTAAGAGGAAGTGCCAGAACTTTGTTAGGGAAAGACTGCAGTACTTTTAGTCCCTGAGGAGGCCTGGCAAGATTATAAAGTGTGCTCTGCAGAAGACTGAGAGGTGGAGGAAGCAGACAATATGGAAAGTTAATTGGAAGAAGGAAAAGTATAAAAGAGGTACAGTGCATGGGAATGTAAAGAGAAAGGAAATGAATGATGAGAGAATGTGAGTCTTCTCTGGTTCAGTGTTATGATATCACTGTCTGCATTTGTCACATAATTTAAAAGTGACCTGCAAATGATTATTTTTATTACATTTTTTCATCACTTCTTGATGACTTAAAATGAAAGCTTGAAAGAGTTCACAGCTTGATTTTTTTAATATACTCACTGTTGTTCTGTATCTCAAGCATTTTGTATTCACACAATTCTTGCCAGCACAATTAAATTAGCTTAGATTGATTTTGCTACATTAATGTATGATATGTCTCCTACAGACACCCAAACCCTCATCAGCATCTGGGGGACACACTTCAGTTGGTGCAGTCATTTTCAATAGATTTAGTTTCTGTCCATAGGAAATAGATAAACTGGCAAAGCATTTGCTGTAGTACAGACCTTCAAAATATCAGGAAGACAGAGATGAGGGAAGCGGGAGAGGGTGGAATTTTACAGGCAAAACTTACATGTGCTAAAAAAAAAAAAGGAGGTTTGGGTGAGATTTATTTCCCTGCCTCAATTCCCTTTGCAGCTCACCTTTAAAGGAAAATATTTTTAATGCACATGTATTAAATGTACTCATGTTCAGTTATGATTGTTTTTTAATGAATAGGATATTCATTACATATAAGCATATTGAGCTTACAGAAACAGCTGGAAAAAATAGTGTAAGCATTCCTTACACATAAGTGAAGAAACAAGTATGTATGTCTGTGTGTTTATGTGTATATGTGCATACATATAAAAGCCACACAGCATATTATCTGAGAGAGAGCCCTCACAAGGACATGGATGACATGCATGATGGAATTAAAATGACAGAGTGAGAGGTGAAAATAAATCAAAACATCAAACAGAAAAGGAACAGAAGAGAAAATAAGGAACAAACTGAGAGGAAGTTATGCTAAAAACTGGCTATATTCCATGTTAATTCAGATTTCCAGATTAAGACAAACCAATTTTGTTATTCTGTTTTTTTTTGGTCTTTCATTGAAAACAGGTACACTACAATTCAAGGAGACGTTTAGATATGTGCTTAACTTTAAGCATATAAATACTCCCAATGAAGTTGTTTTATTGACTGTTCAGAAAAGCCACAATTAATAAAGATATTTACTGTCGTTAAAAAAATCACCAAGTAGTATGTTAGTAGAGAAGGGAAAATAGCTGTTACATGTATATATGAATATATTTACTTATATATATGGAGAAAAGGAAGCCTGTAGCAATACATATGAGTGAGAGGCTTAAAACTGCAGAATAATAATAAAGGAAACATAAGGAGAACAGGCGGATCCATGTCCACCAGGATAATTTTTAAATTTATTAAGAAGAAAGCCTGAACAATATTATTCTTTTTCACTACCTTAAAATAGTAGAACAATACAGTAGAAGTGATAGAACTGGCTTTATTTCAGAAAAATCCGTATCATATAATGAGTATAGTGGTCATAAATGTTTTCCTTTCCAACCGTAACTCAGGAGCTTAAACCCAAAGTACTGAAATTAGTGTTAAAATCAAGATATCCACACACCTGTATCCAGGAATTTTAAATGAGCTGAATGATTCTGTGGAGTGCCAGTGCTTGCAGTAGATATCAGCTGTGTATAATCACAGAATCACAGAAGTTCTAGGTTGGATCTTCCAGAAACACTAAGTGGCAAATACCAGCTATGTTTTTATTAAAATGGAGCTGTCAAACAGGGAAGTAAAAGTTACATTACTTCTGCATTTCTCTAGAATAACATAGTGAAGATTAAGTAGGTTCTGAATTTCTACAAATTTTAAAATCAGAGAGTAGTTGTACTGAAAGATATGCTCTAGTTTGAGTAAGAATCCATTTAGGAAACCCTGTAGAATACACTGCATTAGCGGTAGAAATATGGGACAAATGTGCACATACTTACGTCCAACTTTCTGTTGTCAATAACTGACTATCTGAAGAGGTTTCCTACTCAACATGCTGATCTTGGTATGTCCTGAAGTGTATTTTTATGTTTTCTTTATGTCTTGTATTGCAAAGCCAGGATCCTAACTCAGCTTTTGCTGTACCACCAGCAGCACACATCAGGGTGACAGGCTGTAACTTGAGCTGAAGTCACTGATGTAAATTTTGTGTTGGATAATCCAAATGGAATGTCCTGTATGAATCTGCAAAATTAAGCATGTCTTCTTTGACCTAAAAATACAAATTCAGTAATGAGAAACAATGAATACAACAGTTTTCCATGGTGGAATAGATGCTTGGTTCTCATTGCTTGTGTTCCCTGTTTTGATGCAATGCTAATGCACCTATTACTTTATGAAAGATTATCTTGCACAAAAACTGTTTTTTACATGTATACCACATATCATTGTATTGCCTCAGTGCCTCCTAATTTTGAGTGTCCTTATTCTGGCAACAGCAGTGTGAGAGAAGGTTTTGTGACTAATTTTGGATCCAGATATGTGGTTTCTTACTAGAGATAATCAATGAAACCTCACTGAGGCCCAGAGATCACCCATTTGTAATGAATAATCAAAAGGCTGTTCCCTCCAGAAGACGCTGTGCTTAAGCTGATGTAGAATACCAAAGCTGAGGCTGAGACTGGACTGAGACTGATCTTTACATACCGGTGCAGACAGCTCCCAAGAGAAAACCATTTAATCGTTCTTTTGTTTTTTCTTAACTGCACCATCACTTACTCATGCTAACAATCATGACATTATGTAGAACATCACCAATATTCCTTCACTTGCAAGCTTCATCGAAGCTGAAGGTAATTGACACTTGGTCAGACCTTCAGTAACTGAAATATTTTTCTCCATTGTGTTAAAAAGTATTCAAGTGAGCCAAAAGCTAATGGTACCTTCGTTCTTTGGTCTTCCCCAAAATCTGATAATCTAAAGAAGGAATAGTTAATGTTTCTCAGCTCATTGTTCATTACCTTGAATGGAATCATGTAGAGTTACAAACTGATGAGTATATCATATGTTATGAGTATATTAAGTATCATATGGAGAGATCAGAAACATGAGGATTGTACTTTGTAGGTAGAAAGCTGTGTAGGGTCTTATGGGTTCAATATGATGAGTTAAGGTTTCTAAATAGGCTTCCATTATCTTCTGAAGAAAGACAAGTAAAAATACTATTAAGAAGAGATAAATTTAAAGGAACAATGTTGTCATTTATTTCCTGACATCTTCCTTTAACATATGCATTAGGGTTCAAAATAGAATGTTTATAAAAAGTAGAGCTTTTCCTTTGTGCCTGCACTCAGATTGGCTCTAGATTGCCAGATAAATTAAACAGCTGTTGAAAAAGCTTTTTGTGGATGTAGACAGCTCACAGCAAGTTGATCTTTATTTTTTTTCAGAACTTACTGTCTATCAAAAACTGGAGGAGTTTTTAAAAAAACTAAGCAAACGAATCCAAAGATACAAAGAATTATAGTTGTCAGTTTGGGCTTCTAATTGCCTAGTGTACTTGGCAAGAGCAAACACAGAGCCATATCATTTGATATCTTGAACCATAACCTGCAATAATCCATACTCCTTAATCCTTCATATAGCTGTTGCTATGCCATCACAATTTATTTTAAAATGGTATTCTCTAGTACTTATCTCAGTCCTAATCATTCATATTAATGTTAGCATTAGAGTGAATTAGGGCATTATTTGCCTAATATGTGCCATATGTGACACTTAAGTACTTGTAAGTAATTGCATATGAGAGAAGACAGCATTAAATGTGAATGGCAGATACAGTATGAAAAATGGAAGAGACTAATATTAAACTTTTAACAGAAATAACTTCAGCAAAACTTTCCCACAGGCAACAGTACTCTGATATTTTTAGCTTTTTGAGGCCAATGTATGTTAAGACTAGCATTCACTGCAGTGGGAAAATACACAATTTCTATTATGGGGCAGTCAGAATAACAACATACTGATGATACACTGGTATAAAATATGTAATTATCTCGCATGCAAAAGAATAAATCACATAAACTGTTTACAGTAGGAATTGTGAAAGGACAATGACACATTGTTGTCTTATTTGTGTAGCAAGGATAAAGTTTGGCTTCTAAAATTGCAAAATCTAATTTGTGGTGTTTATGTGATGCTTCCTGCAAGAAGACCGTGATAAGATTTTTTACTTGTAATAAATTAGGTTAGATATTAGCTAAGTTCAAATGAGAGATAGAACTGGATAAAAATAGAAAGATCTTAACTTGGATAACATCTTGTGTTCCTTCATGTTGTACCATTAGACTAAAATTATACAGAATAGTTCTGCTTTCCCATGCAGCTGCAGCTAACTGCAATTTTGTTCCTAGAACCATTACTGTACTGTAATTCACAAGTTGCAAGAGTCATAACCATACCAGAAGTGAATTCAGACTCTTTGAAAGCTATGCATGAAATGATGGAAACAGAAACATTATGGATTATTATTACAAAACTAGTAGTCCATCATACTAATAATGAATAATAATTCAGAGAGCAGGCATTGTGTGTCCTCATCTATCATCATATATAAAAATAGTTTTAATTGATAAGCCCCGTCTGTTCTGCATGCTATTATTGTATCACTGTAAGTTTTTAAAATAGGGTGAAATCAATATTTTTTGTCTGTCCTCCCTGGTAGCAAAGAAAGGCCTAAGCTTTAGGATTAGTGGGCAGATACGAGGAGGATTTCTTTCTTTGTGATACAAATCTGTATTAATTGATTTTTCTTGATGTGGATTAATTGCAGCTCTTTATTAGGAATAATATCACAAATAAACTATAGACCGGTATAGATTGCTAAGCCTAGATTTCAACTGAATGAGGCTAATCAATATCTAAGTCTGTAATTTAAAGCAATTCATTAAGGCCTCAGGAAAAGCTAAATAATATACGTGAGAAATGTCTCATCTGGAGCCTTGAAGGGGTTTCTCTCTCAACAGAATAAATATGTTTGTAATATACAATTATTGCAGATTAAGTTTGCTCAACTGCTTTTTGTTTGCCAGCTATTATGCCAGGGGGACGGAGGAACACTCCTGCAGATCAGGCAGTGGTAGCAGCATCCTGACAGGCCAGAGCCCCTCCGTTTACCATCAGGCTTGCAAGTCAGATGAGGACAGCTCTCACAGGCATTGCAATACTTCAAGATTCTGTTTATTTTTTTTGGTAACTAAAGAGCTGATATTTTCATTTTAAGAAATCACAATGTGCTATATACTTGCCATGTCTTCTGATGGCCAGAGCTAGACAAGAACAAGTATATTTCAGTTTTGGCCAACATGGTTAAGCACAAGTGGTACCCACTAAGCACAGCACGCAAACCAGTGCTGTGCAAACAAGGAGGGAGGTGAGGTGTGGATGCCAGCCTCTGGTTCCCACCTGAGGGATTGTCCAGCCAGGGTCCCTCTGTGGCCAGCTTGCTGTGGCTTCTGCTGAGGGCTTGCTCACTGCCCTTGAGTGCTGGTTCCTTGCCATCAGCCCTGTACCTGTAAGCTTCTCTCAGGTCCCCAGGTGGGACTCTCAGAATCACTTGTACCTAAAAAGTGAACCCACATAGGATTAGTTGTCATTAATACTGTATAATAGATATATACTGTATAGTAGATACATTTTGTGTCTCATAGGTCACTAGGAACTTTCCATTACTTCAGATAGACCGTAATTAGACAGTGATCACTTATGATTTGAGGGTAAAGTTGGCAAATAGTTATATAAAAAAAAAAAAAAAACTTTGTGCTTGTGGTAATTTATATCCTTCATGTACATCCATGCAACATGTATAGCAGTGTCTGTACTGCCATTGTTTAACACATTTTGGATATACGTAACAAATTTGTTCAGTCTCTGACTGGAATGTTACATTCACAATTCTTGCTCTCAATTTAGAGAAAAGTACAGTTCAGGTTCTGATCTGAAGCATCCATTTAAAGTTAAATACATGAGCAAATATTAAATTTACTACTAATAAGTAACCATCAGGGAATTATTTTAATAACTTGTAGTGACTGTGTATTCTGCAAGGTGAATTTCAAGGTTCTGTGACCTAAGAACTTGCAGAATATAAGCTGTAGCATAAAAGAAGGGAAGTGGATGAAGCACTTGATTAATATGATTACTGTAATACTTGAGATAGATCTTAGGTTTAGAGGCAGTAAATGTAAGACCTAGGATAAAACACCTAAATCCATGCAACACAATGAACAAAGAAGATAAATTTCATAATAGCATTGTAATGAGAACTACATTTTGAAAATACCCTTACATATTGGCATATGATCTTCCTGGGCAGGTGTGTGGGTAAGATAGAAACAGACTTCAAGCATATACTGGTAGTTCTGACCAGTTCAAATTTTAGCATTTACCAAGTTCATCAAGTTCTTGGAGGTTGAAAAGGAGATAAATTCCCTTAGTAGTTCCATGAGTGCTACATTTAACAAAGAGTTTCTTTGGCGTTGCTTAAGGAAATTGGTTTTAGAGCTAGAAATCCCAAATTCTTGGTGCTAGTTACAAGTTTCAGTGAAGCTACAGCAGGGATAAATGCAGCAGAATAAGCCAGGCAAAACATTCTGTCAACTTTCTGGTGTCCATATACTGTAAACCAATGCTGTTATTGCTTTAAGCCTTGTTCTCTTTTTCCTTTACCTAGGCTAGTATCTGTCCTCTTTATCCATCATAGATCTTAAGGAAACCTTAATACCACCTTGACTTCCAGCTCTGGAGCCTGTATTTTGCTCCAGTGGAGATAATAGTTTGACTCCCTGAAGATACGAGTGCTGGAGCCGTAGGCTATTAATCCGCGTGCAGTGAAGATAAGCTAACCAGGTTTTTGGCAATGGTTAAATGACTTGACTTTGACTTCTGGTTCCCATATAAATGATTTGTCCTTGTCTTCATGTTTAATTTTCTTTTAACTGCTCAGTTCAAAGTAGCCTTAGCTGAACTAGCTAACCACTTTTTACAGGAAAGGCTTAGCATGCTGTGGGGCAGATTTTCAGGCAGACTGAAGTTCTTTTGCATTATTATGTATTTATTTGCACTATTAAGTGAAATCTTAAATTTTCATTGAGTTTGAATCCCTTTTTACAATACTAGAGATGTCTAAAGGAAGGCAGTGTATTTGATTACTAGGTATATTTAATTGCTATAGAAAAAACGCTGTACATAATTATGTTATGAAAGATGTTTTAAGACACAAATTTCTTGCTTCTCATTTGTTCACATTTCTTATACTCTTTCTCAACTCCATATTGCTTCTACCACCGCAACACCGTAAATCAAGGCCTAAATCCAACGATATGTAGAAATTGTAGAGCACAAATGCATCCTGGGTAGATCATTCTTGCATTTGACAGCTAACAAAGTCGAGAGAATAAACACCATAATAAGTCCGTGTGTCCTCTCTCTGGCTTAGATTATCTGGAGGCCATCTGAATAAACTCTCAGCTGAAACAGGAAGCCCTGGGACTAGATCTTTCACCTTCCTTTGATTGTCACATTGCAATTGTTTTCATTTTTCAGTGACGTCAGCACACTTGTTCATTGATGTTCCATTTTGGCCTTGACTGCCAGATCCACCCAGAGAAATCAGAAGCCAAAAACACAACAGGCCTAAATTAAGAGGGCTTTCCTTAAGGCATCCTTATATATAAGATCCTGAGGAAAGATACAGACAATGATGAAGCTTTGTATAAGCATTGTTAAGAAAGGGTGCTTCAAGTTCCTCTCCTCTCCTCTCCTCTCCTCTCCTCTCCTCTCCTCTCCTCTCCTCTCCTCTCCTCTCCTCTCCTCTCCTCTCCTCTCCTCTCCTCTCCTCTCCTCTCCTCTCCTCTCCTCTCCTCTCCTCTCCTCTCCTCTCCTCTCCTCTCCTCTCCTCTCCTCTCCTCTCCTCTCCTCTCCTCTCCTCTCCTCTCCTCTCCTCTCCTCTCCTCTCCTCTCCTCTCCTCTCCTCTCCTCTCCTCTCCATGCATTTCAAGTGCCTGTTAATTTACGAGCCTTTGTTTCTTAGATTTTCAGTTTCTTAAAATGTTAATGAGTCAAAATGCAATTTTAAATACTGGCTGCCTACTTCAAACCGAGTGAATTTGCTGGTAATGCTATGGGAAATCACTTCTGAGAGCAGAGGTCAGATCCATGTGTTTGGAGTGCGAATTGCTGCTGTGAAGACACTGATCAGTCATACCACACCAGCTGAAATGTCCTGTGGCCTGAATGCTTCATGTCTTGGCACAGTGCATTCCTCAAGTCCTGCTGAGAGGCCACAGTGGTCCTCACAGGGTGGGAGGCCACTGGAGATGACAAAGCATTACTTATCACTGTGACTTTGTGAGAGCGTGTTGTCAGTGAGGAATTGAAAAGCACTTCTAGTTTATGGGATGTGTTACCCAGTGCATCAGCAACCAAAGAAAGGCACAACACGCCAGCTAGCTCATCACAGCGATTTCCCATCTCCTCTGTTTTCATTTGGTTCACTGCCAGCCACAAGACTAAGCGCTACGCTATCTTGGGGAAGGTGGTTTGCTGATGTGTGGCAAAGGGGAGGGAGATCTGGGTCTTTTATGCATGTTGCTCCTATTTATGAAATCACTGTCATCTGACCAGAAGTCATTAATCTTTAGGAGCAAGGGAGGGAGTTGGAATGAGTGTTGACTTTTGGAAAAAGGCTGGACTTTTTTAATCTTACACGTGTCCTGTCCATTTCAGTCTTGGGACTGGTTGGCAGGGAAAGCAAACCAATGTCCATGCAGCTATTTTTCCTGCACCAAATATTTCAATTGCACAGGGTCTGTCAGCTTGGCACTCGTTGTGAACCTTAATGTTTAGAGGAGAAAATCTGTTCTAAAATGGTCAAAGAGAGAAAGTCACCCGCGTATTTGCATTTTAGTGCTATTAGTGGTGCTGTATTCAGAGCAGCTCTCTCATCTGAGGACTGGTTTGTAGTGTAACTGCATTTTTGTAGGTTTCCTCTGAAACAGAAACAAAACAGAAAAAGAAGCATCAAACCACAATTTTAAAAATAGGATGCTTTAAGATGCCTCCTGAAAGTCACAGGCTGTCCTTATATCGTTCAATTTTTGGAATTCTTCAGGAGTGAGAACAGACTTGGTTGTCAACAGAGTGCTGTTCACAGAAACTAGGCAGGAAAATGAAAGAAGGCTCGCTATTGTTCGGCTATGTGGTGTAGGCTGCAAGAATGCGTTGGGAATGCAGTGCCTGCATGTCAGGCAGAGAGAGAGGTCTTTGTGTGAATACACTGAAGCAGAATGTCAATCATATAAATAACTATTATCTGATACATATATTTTTTATTTATTCTGGTCATTGCTGTCATGCTTCTTCAATCGGAGTCCACAAGGGTAGTTATCGATTTGCTGGAACTTAGTGGTGTCTAATCGAAGCTGTCCGCATATCACATGCTGACCTACCACGAAGCAGGGAACAGCGCAGGAAGCATCGTACCTCTCCGGTGCCCTCTGCTTTGTCTTGACTATGTCAGGGTGATAACTTGTGAATAGGTAGCATCCAACCACCCTGCTCTGGTGTCACTTAAAAGCAGCATTGTTTTTCCTAAAACAGATGTTTTTGTCATTCCCCAGGGAAAAAAAAGAAAAAAGAAAAAGAAAAAAAGAAAAAAAGCGCATAATTTGAAATATTCATAATTGAAAAAGGAAAACTTTGGCTAATAGAAAAGGAAGCTACATGCTTTATGCAAATGGAAAAAGCCCAGGCTTTATCTCACAATGGTTAACATTGTATCAGGATGCAATGATGTAAGAGCACTGTTATGAAATTCCTCAAAATCCTGAACATGTTAGAGGCAACATGCCTGACAAGGGTGCATCTGTGATTAAAATAATTTTTCTCTTTAAGCAAATTAACTCTTGAAACAGAAGCTTGCACAGTTGGGAATAACATACCTGTTATGACCTGAATTAAATTGACCTCCTCTGAAGTCTCGCTTCTCATGGGTTGGTGTTATTTTGTGATGCTTAAGGCAGATCCGCCTTTGAGGTAACACATCTGTGTTTTGCTCGCCAGCAATGGGAGGAGATCACATACTGAAAAATCTGCCCCACTGGGAGAGGTTGAGCCAGTATTTTGCTAGCTTACACCACGTGCTGTGCAGCAATCAGGAGGGATCTGTTTCAGAGGAGTCATTTAGGGCCACGAGGAGCAAATCCTGTGAGCTGCTTTGAACACCTCTACAGATCTGATGTGGCACTCAGAGGTGTGAGCTGCTGGATGAATAAGCAGGGGGTGCGCAGTCCTGAGCAATACAGGGGACCCAGTCCTGCACCATTGAAGCCAGCAGGAGTTTTTCCAAAGGGTTACGTCTAATCATAGATAGCCACAATATTGTTCCCCTGTACCAAGGCCCAGGTAGAACAGACTTCTTCCTGATGCAGTAAGTGACTAACCTAGGGAGCAAGGAGTACAGTGGAAAAGCTAACAATAAATAACTCTAAAGGCATACTTCCTCAGGCTCACTGTTTTCTGCTCCTAGCACACTCTATTCTGTTTTATCCTGAATATTGACAAGTCAGAGAATTAGTCTGGAGGACATGGGATTTCTTCTTCCTAAGGCACTACTTTTGTAAAGCCATTAAATCAGAATCACTGGTGTTCCCACCAAGAGAAGCTGTCCTAGATGCCACCACACCACCCCTACCTTTGCCAGCAGTGTTACAGGCTGAAGCGGGAAGCTGAGCCATGTTAAAGCCAAGCAATCTTCCACCAGGTTAGCTTAAACCCTACTCAGTTTTCTGCGGCAGATGACCATCTATGTGCATAAATAGGTGTGCCAACAAAGGAGAAGGCCATGTGGATAGGAGGAGGCAAAGAGCAGCAGGGAGCTTAGAGAAAGCAGGTTGGCTTGTGCTTCAGCTCCATCTCAAGTCAGTGCTCACCCAGGGGAATCGGTACCTGCTCCAGCACATGGTGTCTTAGAGTTATACTGATTCACATCCATCTCCTTTGTTGCACCAGGAACACCGAGGTTGCCCTTTAGCCATCATCATCGTACCTTGTCTGTTTTCCACAGTGTGTATCGTGCTTGAAAGGCCTTCTTGAAGAGATCTTTAAGAGTGCAGGCCATGCTTACATCAGGATTTCAGGGCGAATCCTGTTATTTCACCATCCCATGCTGCAGTTTATTCTGTATGGCGAAACGCTGACCATATCAAAACCTCAGTTTGTTTAAGTCGATGTAGCTCTCGTCAGTTCAATAGGGCTGTGATGATTTGTACCAGCTGAAGATTTATTTCACTACCTCAGATTTCTTCTTCATTTTTAAAGCAACTGTAGCAGTATAGCACTTACTAACAGCACATTATTATGTTAGTTTTCCATGATTCATTTCAAGAATTCAAAGTACACATAACCATTTGTACTTCTTAAATGCTTTACAGAAAATCATCTTGATTGCAGAATCAAATCCTTCTTGTCTGCAAAAATACTGTTTATTATGCCAAAGCTCTGGCAATAACAAAGATGACCAGAACACAGAAATATATGGGATGGATGAATTGCTGTGAATGGCCAATAACTGAAGAAAGCCATATATTGTTTCACAAAATCCTCAAATGTGTTATTTCAGACTAACCTATGACAAAGTTTCAGTCTTGAAGGTAAAAACCTTCTAAAAATATTTTACATCTGTTCTATTTTGGTTACAAAAATTATAATTATTTTTTTTCCATTAAAACACAATTCAGAATATATTTTAATATGAAATCTTGCAAAATGTTACTGAAAAAATGTTGTTACAGTTCCCTGGGGAAGAGGGAAGGGTTGCTTCTTTGGCATTTATTTTGTGTTGTAAGTGCGTAAAAAGGAAAATTTCTTCTAATAGCGATAGTTTAGTCAAAAGCTATTTGAGAGGAAATATGTTTTGACCAAGATAGCGGCCAATTCTTGATTTAGATTTTTGAGCTTTTACAAAGCAAACTGTACAAAGCAAACACTCCAGTTGGGGTTCCAAACTACAACTACCAAATATCTCTGATGACTAATGCTTCCTGGCTGTACTTCATGCTGGCTTGAAAAGAACAAGACTACTTTTTGTCTAAGCCTGCACTAATGTTATATAAAAGGTTGTGAAAAAGGTTGTGTAGGTCCATCCACAAACATCCTTCATTTGCATATGCTTGTGGTGTTTTAGCTAGTGGCTTTGGGAAGAGTTAATCTAGTGTTTAATTAAACCATTTAGCTTTATTTGAAGCATACTTTTTTTTCTAGCTGACAGCATTTTTTCTCGCACAAGGATTTGCTGCAGTCCCAGAAGAAGAATGAATAATGTTTCCTATTTTGACCACAGAGTGATCTGATCATGCATGCTGTCAGTAGACACTGCTACTGCCTGGCTTCCAGGGAGAAAAAAACATCCCTTGTCCACTGTGTCCCAGCCACAAGGAGGTCATGTGGCAGTGGGGTGTCCTGCTAGCGAGGAGAGCATGTGGTGGGATTCCTGGATCCTTTCCTTGCTGTGATACTGAATCTGTCTGTGATAGGGGACGAGTTGGGTAGCTATTAATTAAAATGAAGGTGACCATACTTCTCCAACATATTATGAAGGTCATTTCTGTAATCTTAATCTAAGCTCTTTGACCTTCAGATGAACTCTTGGATAACCACAAAGGAAAAACAGCAGCCCAAAGTAGAGACTAAGTGCATGTCTGATTTTCTGTAGGAATCTGGGCCCCCCAAGTCATAGATTCAGAAGCATCTCACAAACTTATCAAGAAATAAAGGCTGAGGAAGATCTACATGAAAATCATCTTTTGGCTCAGAAGAAAATATTCTGTTTTCTCATTCCTGCTGCCTCCCATCCAACAAATAAGGACTTTTCAACTGACTGCTTAATCCCTGCTAACGCCCACCTTCATCCCTTGTACTAGCCAGTCAATGTGTTCCTCCCTTGCTCTTCATTAAGCTCTACAGAACGCATTTCCAGTCAACACTGCTTTATATAATGCTCCTATTTGTGCTGCCAGCAATAATCCCAGTCCTTCCCTCGGCTGGCTTCAGTTCCTGTCACAGTGCAGCCCTCCCAGTGACTTTTCCACACTGGGGAGAGGCTAAAGCCTGAGCCTGAGGCTCCAGCAAGACCTGGAAACAGCCAGGGCTCAGGAGAAGGCTGGAAGAAGAGATAGGCTGGAGGAAGTGGCTGCTCCCCACCTCTAAACTGGACTCAAAGGCTTGTGACTATGCTCTCTCCTCCTCCCTGCCACAGCACCCTCCCGTGGATACTCTCAGATGCATAATTACCCCCATTGCCCTATGGGGAGTTGCACTGAATATTTGGATTATGAAGAAAAGTTTCACTTTATACAAAACTCACTGGCCAGAAGAGCTCAACTTCCAGTTGGGCACTTTACAATGACCGCATTTTCAGATGTGTTCAGCACTCTACATTTATTTGCCAACTACTCTCTTGAAAAGTTTGGTTATAGTAGCCAGCAAGACAGAACTTTATGAAAGGAATAAATTACTGTAGGCAGAACTTGTTAAAAAAAATCAATGACATGTCTAAAAGTCCAATTCCTACATGCACTTCAAAATCCTGTTAAAAGTCACTGATGCTTAATGAAACATTTTTAAACGCCCATATCTATTTCATGTAGCTGTTTTACTTTATTTTAGTCTGTCCCTTTTTTGCTATTTTTATATTAAAACATCTGCATTTTAAGAGGTCATCTGTGATACTTGCACTGTTCTCATCTAGCAGTTTTGCGGTTATCTTCATTCTTGTATTTTGGATAACTGAAAGTTTCTGCAGGCTCCCTTCTTTATTCTCGCTCAGTTTTCATTCTCTCCTTGGGCTGGACTTTTGTTTAGACAGACTATTCTCAAAGCAGAAATTTAACAGAGTCGTATTAGCCTAACACACATTGAATTTCTACTTCCTCAGTCTGTATTGCTTGGCTGAATGCGTGGCAGCAGTAGGGCTGCACCGAGACGTACCAGGAGGAAGACTCCTACAGACAGTTGTGGCCACTGGGAATTGTGGCAGTGATTCATTTTCACAAGCCCTGACAGCACTGCCTCTCAACCATAGATCCTCTAGGTCAGGGAAACCTTCAGCCAGACGTCTTGGAACTGTCTTAATCCTTTTGCACCCCAGAACATGACAAGGATGCTAAAGCGGGGGGTTATGCTTAGTCTTGGATACAGCTGTGTAGCAGGTACACACATTTCTTAACACAAAGAGGTTGCAATAAAATGACTGCTCTGTTCTCAAATGTTGCTGGCAAATTGTTGTGAACATGGGAAAGAAACAAGAGTGTTGAGAGCTCTGTGTATCATTGAAATATTTAAATATTATGTACAGTGACGCCTGTAATTCAACATTTGCTGTGGTAAACACAGCAGAAATGACTGTAGCATAATGTTATTCCATATTCTAAGCCAGATTCTTGAGGTTTGTTTTATTTATATCACATGTGGCAGGGAGAAATAATTCTAGGAAGGCTCATACGGTATATTTTCTTTTCATGTTGCCAAAATATCTTAGAGAAATCAATGGCTGGGGACTTTTCTGTGTGGCTAAAGATTTATTTTTAACCTCTTGGTGTGCAAAAATCAGGAACAATTATTAATCTGTCCTGAAACTGCAGATACAACCTGCTAGCAACAGATGGTGTGAATGAAAAGCCAGAAGTGGCCATTTTTAATATTCAATAGATTAAAAAAATCTAGTTCTTTAATCTTATCTAACCTCTCGTGACCGAGGGTCTAAGGTATTGACTTAAAGACAATATCAATAGCCTTGATTTGAACCTGAATCAACCACAGAAGTGGATCTTCTGAGATACTTCGTACCTCTAAACGATGCTGCATGTTCCTCGTCTCTGTTGACCTTGATGAGAGATGAGCATTAGCATTTGCTGCTGAGCAACTTAAAAAACCAAGCCCAGTTGGAGCAGCTTCTGCTACAAGTAGTGTGTGGCTGCACTTTGGGGGTTCTTGCGTAGGTCTGAACTTGTAGGGTAGTTAAGAACCAACACCTGTCAATGCCTAGGGAAGAAAAAGTATTACATTACCAGATACTATCTCAATCGTGCTGTATTTATATATCTCAACTACAAAATCAGGAAGTATTGCCAGCCGTCGTTTGGATGAAGCTGGCATAAACACACAAGCACACATGCACACACACAGAGAACAAAACAAAAATCCCAGGCTGCAAGCCTGCTTTATCTTTCAGTTAGTTACGGACCATGGAAATCTGACTCTTTCAACCTTGCGTCGTGTTTGGTGTCTTGTTCAGGTAACATATGGATGGCTGGGTGCAAGTTTAACGTGCTAGCCTTTACACAAAATAATCCCCATTACCAAGTAGGGTGATGCTGTGCTAGTGAGGCTATTTTTTACCTTTTGTGCCACTGCTGGTGTGGGCAGACTGTCAGCAACACAGAATGTCACAACTGCACAAGTGAGATGGATCCAAACCATAGCCCAAACTTACCTGAAGTATGGGGAAAGCTGTGTCTGAATTTCAAGCTTGGTATCACTTGTTATTTTCAGTAACATCTCTCCACCCTAGGTTTAGTTGTGAGAAACAAGGCCGGGGGGCTCAAAACCACCCCAGCAGCTGGTATGTAAAGGCAGTGCTATCAACGTGGTGCAGGTGAGAAAATGCCTGAAGTTTCTGTGTCAGTAATTTCCCAGGTCAAGTATCCTGTCACTACGTACTCACCAAGCAAATGCAGCAGATGTGGACAGATGACAAACTTTACGTGCACGAGTCTGGAAAAGACAAAACCTCTCTCCGCAAACCAAGGTCTGCAATTTAGGAAGCCGTTACTTTCTCTATTTTTAATGCCTTTATTGATATAGGTCTGCACAGACCCCAGCTCCTGGCAGGTCAGCAGCTCCTCACCCACAAACCCCAGCTGTCCCCAGGCCTCCCCCCTGCAGTTGTTCTGCTCTGCTCTGGTGTGGCCCCTCTGCCCCTCTCCACCCACATATAGACAGGCAGAAACCACTGACCACGGTCAGGCAGTCCCCTGACAATACAGCATGTGGGAAAGCTCTTCCAGGGTGACCGGCAGCCTCGGAAGGGCTTGGGCCGGAGAGTAAAGGCCGATGCACCATGGGAGAGCACTGAAAGGACATTGAGTTTTCTGAAGAAGGGAAAATGAGCCTCTCCCCTGTGGGTTTTTCTCTGGAGGCCACAAGAGTGAGATTTCTGAATTGGAGGAAGGAGTGGAAGAAAAAGACAAACCATGAAAAAAAAAAAAAAAAAAAACCAGCCAGCTGCACAGATGTAACTTTAATTTAGCACATGGTTACAGTGATGCTAGGTAGTGCTCTGGAATGAAAATGCTGGGAGATGCAGGAAAAGATGCGCCTCAGTATCAAACAGTCTTGGACAGGAAAATTCAGTGTGTCCAACACAGTGAGACAAACACATGATGGATGAAGGCAAAGTCGAACAGTCACTGAAGTCTTATGGCAGCCTGAGCCATTGCTGAGAACCCCAACATGCTCTGCCCCGGGGAGCCCATTCCTGCTGCTCTCTCAGACAGTCCCATGGGGAGGCTGATGGGGCACGGATCCCACAATGAAAACTAATTGCTTTGTTGCTGGTATCATTTTCAGGGAGAGCACTGGTCTGCTCTCACCACCCAGTAATTAACACAAGAATGAGCAACTGGCCATGTGGAGGGACTTTGTGGGGAAGCAGGGAGGAGTGACAGGACTGTGCATTTTGTTGGGATTGTGGATTCCTGCTGGAATGAAGTAGCTGTGTAACCATGGCCTGAGAGGTTTCATCTAAAGGTCTGAGTAGAAATCAGCAAAGCATTCTTCGTTTCTACTTCCAGAGGGGAGATGGAGTCTAGGTCTTGCACCTAGAACCTATTTACTGGTCTGAAAATGGGGTTTTAAAGAGACTGTTTGGGTTTGTAACCTTTATGGTTGTTGTTTCTCTAGTGGCTCCATTTATGTAAGATAAATATTAAAATGTCTGCCTGTGAAACCAACTTTCTACCAGGCTCTGAGATGAGTTCCTAAATGTTCTGTGCTGTAGTCTACCCTAGTAATTCTTGATACGCAGCGTATATCTTACCATGCAGGAAATGCAGAGTTGAAGGACATTGAACACTAAGAATTCTTCCACTGTGTCATGATTACGGAAACATCTGTTCTCAATAGCCCTCTGATGATCATCTGTAAAAACTCAGTGTCTAATTGTTCCCAATATTTTCCATTTTTAACTCTGACTCTGAACAGTCCAAACTTCAGATGTGTTTCTCTTACCAACCACTTGCCTTACATAGACCTGAAACCTATGTACAGCCCTTGCCTTCATACAAATGCTTCACAAATTCTCACATTGTTTTGCTGTGACATTCAGCTTTGAATGGTTAGACTCTTTATCTGAACTTGGAGTTTTGGAGTGTTTCATATTTCACGGTCTGACGTTTATGCTTTGTGTTTGTCTCTGGTTTTTGACCTGTAGTGAGAAGACCAGACTATAAAATGCAAGTGGTGTTGAATGCAGAACACATTAATCTCTCATGAAAGTGTTTTTTTTTTTGAAGTTGCAGAACAAAGTCAGAAAAAAACACTTACCATAATGCACATGCAATGACTACTACAGAATTTCTTATCGTTAGGACATATGTTTTCTCAGGTTTGTGTTGCAAGTCTCTGCCTCCCTAGCTTCTAGTAGAACTTCTGCACTATCATCACTGAACAAAGTCTCAATACCAGAATGCTTATCTCTGAATGCTTCCACAAAACCTAGGTTATCTTAATGTGAAGATATTTTGCCTTCATGCAGAAAAGAGTTTCAGCACTTCTGTGAATGATACAGTCTCTGAAGTACAACCAGCTCTTGTAATCACAACAAGGCCATTCAGAATAAAAAAAAAAAAAAAAAAAAAAAAAGTGGCAGAAAACTGCTTTTAAGCTTCATAATATCACTGCAAATATCCAAGATTTCTGCTCTGTTTGGTAGACCTCCTTGCCTCACTTACAAACTTCTCATTTTGTCTATTCTCAGAAAACAGAGCTTCCCCTTCAATATAAGCATTTAAAAAAGAGAGAAGTCCTGAACTGAATAATCCCTTAGGGCTCAAGGGTGTCATCTCCAGTGCTATCTACAGGGGAAACAAGAATGTCTCAGGGGTCCAGGTGCTGCCCTTTGCCATACATAATTTTACTGCATTTGCTGCTCATAAGCAGCCAGTGGCAGTAAATATCGCTCACTCTAACGCGGCATGGGACCCAAGACTGGAAAAGACCTTGCCCCATCCTCAGCACATGCAGTTCTGGGATGAGCTTAGTAGAGATGGAAAGCGCTTGAAGCAATCAGTAGTGACTTAGGAGTACCATGGGAGGAAGTCAGCCTACCACAAGCACATTTGTCTGCTGTCTAGATGTACTAATGAGACACTATAAAAGCAGAGAGGAAAAAAACAAAGAGACAATTGGAAATTATATCTTCAGATTTTCAGCACTTATTTTAAATCATGTTTCAGTCCACTATTTGATATTCAGTTTTGTTCTTTGTTTCCTGATAATTAAAAGAAAAAAAAATCATTACTCTTTTGGTCTATATATTGAATCATGCAAGGTGTGGTTTATACAGTATAGCCCTGCTCCATTTTCATGTAAAAGAAGACAAAGTTCAGTATTTTGCAGGTCTAAATGCTAAGTGCTGCAAGTTTCTGACACCAGGTAAACTGAAGAAAACTCAGAAAACTCTGCAATAACTTAACTTCTTTTCTTTTTGAATGAATGAATGCCTGGTGCTGGAAAGGTTCTGGAAGGTATCTAGAGCCATTGACAAGAAAGGCATTTGAGGACACTTAGCGTAATCCAGGCAATAGTCAGCGTCTTCCAAAATTCAGTGTCTCGGCAGGCAGGAGCAGAGATGTAGATATTTTAACATTTAAAAAAAAAAAAAGGTGAAGGGTTCATCCTACTTCTAGGTAGCATTTTAAAGCTAGCATGTTTAAGGCATGCCCAGTGCTGTTGCCAGCAGCTTGCAAACTGTTTACTTTTGACTTTTTCTGTCTGAAGGACCAGATCAGTGTTGTGGGTGCCATTTAGCATGAGTGTAGAGCAAGCTTCAAGCTTGTGCCTCAAGTGGTTTCACCACCAGACCATTCATATTTTGAACAACCTCTCCCATAGTTCAGCTCATGTAAATTGCTCTGCAGTCCCTGATATTTGTTGATGATCTGTTCTTCCATTTGTAAATCTGATATCCAAACTGTTTGGAACATAATCACACGGAATTAAGCCATTTGAGTCAATGAGTGTAGTCAAAGCCCATGAAATAAAATCAGAAGCATATATAAAATGAAAGTATTTATGATATGAGTATATAATATATATATATATTTTAAATGTTACAAAATTTTAGCAGCCCCCTGGCCAGCATTTCAAAACTGGTGATGAGATGAGAGACAGGTGAGAAATAAGATTTTTTCAAGTCAGAGATATTTTTCTGTTTGTGGTTCATTGTATTTGAAAAAAAATCTGTGATTCATCTCCCCCAAAAGATGTAGATGTATGTATGCATGTACATACATCACAGTGGTATGTCTGTGTATAAAATATATATCTATATATGTAATATATAGAAAAGTTATAGAGAAAAGCTTACCGAAGAAAAAAACTATTTGTATGACTGATGAGTCTAGCACTAAATTCCATAATGGCTTGGGGAATTCAGATAGAGTAAATCATAAATAGCAATCAATCTGTTTTTGTTGGAACTTTAAAACAACTTTGTTATTTTCTCTACTATGTTGCTTTGAAAATTATAGTATGTTTTCACTGGTCTGCCTTCAACAGGGTTTAGTTTCCATTTATGTGATGCAATTTACACTCCATTAATTTGAACTTTTCCGGTAGAATAAAAAGACACCCAGAAAAACAGATTGTGATATTCTGGCATTTTATTCTGCCTGTAGTGAAGTACAGGCTTCATTTCAATTCCAAGGACTGAGCTTGTAGAAATAGAATGTGTAGAGATAGAACTAAAGATAATATTAAACCTGCATTTATAAAACAAATTTTCTGCACATATAACCCCACATTTGCATGTGTAATATAAGTTGATTCTTGCTTATGTAATATTTTGCCAGTGTAAGCATGCAAGACATAGGCCAATTGTTAAAGTGATGCATACATATAACTTGCAAATTCCATTTGATCTATTGTCTACAAACGTGTGAATCTGAACAAATGGCAGCACACAACTTCATATCATGAGATGGAGAAGCAAACTACAATATTAAATTATCTCTTTCTTCATCATTCTTAAATTCCCAGAAGTCTGAAGCTGTTTTGGACCTTGCTATAAAAACAAAGCATTTTAATGGGTATTCATATATTTGCAATGACGTTCCTATTTCCCTTGTCAGGAAGATGTTGACCCATTCTTTTTTATATATTGTTAGTACACTTACAGCATTTTTAGAGACACTATAGACTAAGCATGCCCTAGCAGTAGAATAAAAAGTGGTTTGTTTGTATTTTGCAGTTTATGAGAAAATTTTCACATGCAACATCTGGCCCATCGCAGATCTGAGTGCAGCCATGGTACTGCTGTGAACGCTACTGGTGCTGAGGTCAGTAAATGTACCCTGTTGCCTAGAAAAGAGTCGTTTCTTGCTGCTGCATAGTATGCAGGAAATACACTTGGCAACTGAGAGAATTAAGTTGGTTCTGCTGTAGTAAAGGGTTGGTGGAGACTCAAATTTCCCATTAGATAGAAAAGCATCATACTGTAGTTGAGATACTTCATTTTGAATGACTAGTGAAATAATATGGTGGCTAGGCAGTAAGTCCTATCACACAGGAACTCATCTGGAAAAATCCACTGTATTCTTACTAGGAGACCCTCTGCCATTAAGCTGCTATCTGACCCTGTATGTGAAGTGACAATAATGGTACTTAATGTCCTTTGCGGGTTGCTTGTTTATTTATTACAGCCATGTACATTACCATAATGTATTAACAAGCCTATTTCCAACTGACAAAAAAATTACTTTTTTAGTTTTTATCAGTGAAATATGGTCAGTCATCCAACAATTTGCTTCTTTGGCATACCCTCCACTTGCTATAATGAGGAATAAACCAAGAGTATATCTCAAGAAATATATGGTTAGAAACAATGCTTTTATGTTTTCCATATTTTGTTATTTTTGCCTCAAATCATAGTTCAGTTCAGTGTGATCTGACATGGCTGAAATACTGAACCCCCACTCCTCCAAAGCAGTGTTTATTATAGAAACCCACAAACTTAACCTAACCTAGAGCAGCTTTTCCAACAGTGATATAATTACAGTAGTTATTGTTGCAATAAACCAGATGTTCCTGAACTGGAATGAAAGCACTTCCCCCTGCCCCCTGCATTACATTTGTTACATTGCCTCTTTTCAAGTTTCACATCAGCTGTTCAGAAAGCTTTTCCTTGGTTGAGTGTCATTTACAGATTCTTGCTGCATGAGTCTTTTAGCTTAAAAGAATGAAACACTAGCAAATTTTGAATTTTCATTGCTTTCCTTAAGACCTCAAACATGACAGTTATCAATGTCACTAATTCTTGCCCAGGGTCAAAGACATTTTTTGTCCTTTAGGATACTTTTACTTGGCTAAAAAAAACACTTTGAAAAAACTACATAGCTTTCAGATTGAATGAGTACATTGTTCTCTACAAAAAAGAAATGTTCCCCTCCTCCAAATCGATGAAGTTCAGGCAGACTTCAGTGAAGACATAATTTTACCCCACCATTTTGAGTAACTTGCTTGTTAGGCGATAGGGGTAGCTTTGTAGAACAGCATCTTTTTAACTGCTGTATCAGCTGTGGTTACAACTGTGAACCATGAACAACCATTCAAGGCAAATAAAGAGCCCATATTTAAAATCCCATCAGAAGATCATAGTTAATCCTATACTAGACCATGAATTATCTATCATTATTTAAATGTTACACTTTCTGTATTTTTAACAGTGCATTAGTCAACATATTTTTAATATTTTCCAGCCTAATCAAGTCCTAACTGCAAAGAATATTTTGCCAAGAAAGAAGTGGACTATGTTTAAATTACTAGGACCTTAGATACGAAAGTTGTTGTATTTATGTGCAAGAAAACCTAAGAGCAATGAATATGAGAAGTCAAGGAGAACAGTTAGGAGATTACTTTATTATACTTACTGTGCCATATAATAATACAATAAAGAAACATAAACCGGTCTTCAGGTTTTGATAAGTTACAGATAAGTTCTCATGAAAATACAGGAACGGTAAGAATGAAGTATCTTATCGACTATCTGAACGTGCCATGGCAATCCTGGAAGAAACCTTTGTAATGTTCAGTTATACATGCTACTCATTTTTCTGTTCATTAGTGGTAACCTATTAGTCAACCCATCCCTGTGGTAACTGTACTGTAACGAGGGAGACAAACCAGGGATGAATTCACCCATGAAGTGGTCTGCTAAATTTTCACTTAGTAAAATGTAAATGTTTCTTATAGAAGGAATTTACATGACTCTGAAACACGGTCCAATTTTTCACTGATGTGGTAGGGGATTCAGACATTGTTGGCCTGATTTTATAAAAATCTTTGAAAACAGTCCATAAAATATCTGAGGAAACCCAAGAGGCACCCACACGTTTGGAAGCAGATTATAAGACAGCTCTGCTGCGCAGCCACAGTCATCTCCCTGTGTTCAAAAGAAACTGTATCAATTTCACATTTTTTGCCTTCCTAATGAGAATGTGTCAGAGCTGAAATAAATAAATAAGTAGGACCCCTGTCCAGGGAGCCTTGATGTCCTTCCCATCGTGGAGACCGGGAGGCCCCTGTGCTTCCTCCCTTGGCCGTGACATGCCCAGTGAATATTTCCACCACCCACACTTCATTCATTCTTAACTCTCCTCACCCACTCATCATTACAGCTGTGCAAAGCATCCATTACAAACCCTGAAGCCATGTGAAATCTACCTTCTTAACTTTGTTATGTGCTTCACACAGCTGGGATTGGTTGGGCTTTGGGTAAATTACCTTTTGAGATGATCTACCATGTTTTCATGCAAATTTGGGCCCAGGTTAAGATGGATGATTTATGAGTTGCATATTTTGAAAATCACTGAGAGAGTTTCATATCACTGCATCATGCTTCACTGTGTAGATCTCTGTCATATTCATGGTAATCAAAAAAGATATGTATATAGGACACTGCGAAAGGGAATAATGTCCCAGATGTGCTCTGTGCATTGCAAACAGTTCCTGGCCTGAAAGACCTGAGAAAAAATGAGCTCTTTTTAACTCTTTAACACTTTATTGATTCAAAGTGTAACTAACTCATAAATTTTTATTACATTCCTTTGTTTAGCACATACACATGTCAACAGGGTTTCAATTAGATACGAACTTGTGCAAATAGTTGCCGTAACTATGCTCTCAGACAGGAAGTAGAAGGAAACACAAACTATGAAATTCAGATTTGGAGCTAAATTTTCTATTGTCAAAATGAGAGATTTATTTGGTTGGTGATAAAGGTCTGAATTTGAAAAATATACAAAAAATTAAAAAGAAAAAAAAAAAAAAAAAGAAGTGATTCAAAGGACAGGATTCAATGTAAGAGGCTCTGTGACTTCTTAGAGAGTATTAAAAAAACTAACAGTGAATTTCACGTTTTATTTTTTAAGAGAAGCCCAGACTATTTAAGGCAAGAACACCAAACAAATCATTTAACATCTCAGTTTGTAACAAAAGAACTTCCTTCATTTTGGCTTGTGACATGACAACATTTTATCTGTAAAACAATCTTTTCTCTTTTTTTTTGCAGTGAATGAATCCATGCAGATCATGAACACATTGCCAAATCATATTTGCGAAACACCGCTTCCTGCTGATGCCCAAATATTAATGTAAGTGAAATCCAAATTAACTGCTTTAGTGTGTGGTAAATGTTGCATTGTCAGGAGGTGATTTCGTGTTTTTTTTTTTTAAATCCTTGAATGTGGACATTTATCAAAGTGCCTTCAAGATAAGTGAAGAAAAGTCTTGAGGCAATTTGTGTAAATCCTGAAAATGGCTTGAGCTGGAATTACCCTGGACTTAAGGTCATAGTGAGAGAAGTATCGAGACATGGGATGCAGCTGAGCAAATGTAGATATGTACAGTGTACGCAGTTATAACTGAATGAGTCACTGTAGCATGAGGCACTATCAGGTCTCAATTTACATTATCCTTGATATTTAAGATCGGTAAGATGAACCACAGCCTATAGTTGCCTCCTTCTTCCCATCAGCTACAAGGCAGATGGGAGCGAAGAGCTGATGAGTAGCTCTCTACCTTCAGGGTAGGTGAGGTGAGTGCCACTCTCAGTGTCTGCTGAACAGGGTTGAGTGCCCTCCCCACTGCAAAATTTGGTGGAGGAGGAAGGAAGTCAGAACACTCAGTGTTTCAGAGGTCAGCGCTCTAGCCTGTGCCACTGCACACAGAATTCTTCCCTTGGTCAAGAACCATTAAATAAAAACAGTATGTAAAAGATCGGCAAGGAAACATTAACAGTAAGTGACAAGAGGTATTCTGCGAAGAAATGAGCTGCAGGAGTAAAATAGAAGCAGGCTAGTACTGCAACATCAGAACCCCAAAGTGTACTTACAACAGTCTTTAATCACCACCTTCACCATGTCCATTTGTTACTTGTACTTGTTGAAACGTTACATTCGCCTTTTACTTAGGGCCTGGTTTTGTTGAAGTGCTGAGCATCCTCATCTCACATCAACATCAACACATTGTAGACTTATACCCAGGGAGAGATAAAATATGGCACGTAATGTTTCATATCACATATGTGTGGATAGCTGTGAATCAAGGAAACAATTGCTTTTAAATAAATGATGTGAGAATAGAAAAGTGATAACATAATGCATGATTTGAGAGCAAAAGCCCAGCTCCTTTGAATTCATTTCAATAGTAGTAAAGAGTGGTGCCATTAGCGGTGCTGTTCTGAGGAGTCCATTGGCATTTCCACTGTATATTATTGATTGCTGGGGTTGGTATCTGTCATTGCAAGTCATGGTGAGATGCAATTTAATGTGAAGAAAAAAAAAAGAATGTTTAAATAGCTGAAATGATGAAAATTCTCTCTCTTCCTCTCTCTGCATCACAAACAAATAAAATACAATTCTGAAATTTTATGAAATTTTTGCCAAACCTCATATCATAAACACCTTCCTTTTAAAGGAATGGGTAGTAAACAAGAAGATGAACAAGATAAGCTAGCTTAATATTTAAAAGATTTGCTCAACACAAATCCTTTGCTTTTCACAGGGGCTTTTGTTATAAAATGAGAAATACATTACAAGCCTCATTTAACCATAACATCAGGAAAAAAAAAAAAAAAAAAAAAAACTAATGGCATACATTTGTAATGAATGCTCAAGTAAACGTATCTGTTCATCTATCTGTCCCAAATAGAAGTGTCATAAAAAACATTAGAACTGAAATTTACTCCCACTGAAGGCTGCAGTAGCATTTCCATTGGCTGGAATTGGTTCCTGGGAAGTTTATTTCAAAGATGATTATCTTACTATCAGCAAGTCTAGGAACGTGGACTCCATGGCCTTCCACATGAACACTAAAGGGAATAAAGTGCTATAAATCCCTGTTTCTGCAATGATAAGTATTCTGGCCCCAGTCTAAGTATATAGAAATAAATTACAGTTATATGTTTTTAAAATCCTACAAAATCTCTGGGTTACCACATCTCCTATCCTACCAAAGGTAAATCTTCCAAGGCTCTTGTTAAAACTGTGACTTAAAAAGCAGTCTAGGGCCCATTTCAGTGTTTGTTATCAAATGGTTCAATTACTTCAGTTACAATTCCTATCTAAAGAAGGTCCCTGACTCTTTGTTTTGGCTATATACAGAATTTGCCAAATTCACTGTTCATAATCCAGAAATAACGACTGGTTTATCTGGGAATTTTCAAATAAATTGGATAAGATTGTGACTCTCAATTAATATAAAAGTAGACCTGTAAGGGCTTCCCAAAGTTGATTTTAATTTGGCCTGGTAAATAACCAGTCTTTCAAAACTCTCTGATGGCTAAAGGTAGCGGCAAAGTATTTTGGTCATGCATGTCAAGCACATAGGTCAGAAGTAAGCAGATTTCTTCCTGGTTCTTCATCCTTTCTTGTGTGTTTTATTCACAATTTTTCATTACTTGAGATGACTATGGTTATGTACAGCTTTGAACGGTACTCTACACATGGCTGCACACTTTTGAGCCACTACTAAGTGAAATTCAGCACCTCGTAAGTTGTTTGGCTTGGAGAACAGGAGGGTTAGCTAGTGGGGGAAATCGGGTGTCCCTGCTGAGATGTTCTCTGTTCAAAAGATGCTTGAACTCTGCTGTCCTGAGCAGATGAGGACTCATGTAATCAGGAAAAGATTCCTTGCTCTCATTCCCAGAATCTTTTCAGCAAACATCAGGACTGAAATCCCCCTCTGCAGGCTCCTCCCAGAGCTGTGCGCCACAACTCCTGCAGGCTGCCTACCTCTCCTTCAGGTCTGCTTCTGAGCTCTCTCTGCTTTTGCGTCTGCTCTCTCTTTTCTACATACAACCCTGCCCAAAACAAACTCACCAAGGCTCCCCACCCAGATCTTTTAAATTCCTAGGCAACCTTGCATTTGCCTTTGTTTTGGGCAGAAACGTGTGCTGAACTGTCTTTTACTGCTCAGAAGAGAAGGGTGGTGGTTAAGCCTCCCATTTTCAACAAGGCTTAACCCAGCCTGCAACAAAACTCTCGGCAAGGATGTAACCACTTCACAGCTGTGTATGTGTGTGTGCGTGTGGTATGTGCAAAGGAATTTGCAGAAGAAATGGACATCCTTCCCCAGATTTCCAGCTGGACAGGAGACACAATCAGGATGAGGACAGTTTAGTTCATTTGCCAGTTGCACGTAGGAAAGATGCATAGTTCTTAGCAGTTTATTTCCGTTGGGACTGGACTAGAGATACTGGTGCCCTTATGGTTTCTACTTCAGACATCAATGCACTCCCCAGCTTTTCTGTTCTGAGTTGACTCAATCTGAGACCAGTGTGGAAGCCAAGGAGGCCACACCTTGGCTACCCAGCGATGCAAGTTTTCTGGGCTGGAACCAGCCTCCAGCTGACCAGCTTGGAGGGTGCAGAAGAGCCTTTCCTAATCTGCACTTGACTGAGTTCACAAGCCAATCTGTATCGGAAGCCTTTGCCTTCCTGAGACCATGAGATTTGGCATGGTTGGATTATCTGTGGAGATCTCTCTGCTGATGCTTTGCCGTAAAAAACTCTCTGCTCACAGATGCATAAAATATTGCTTATTGAACTTGTGTGTGTCATGTACGTCAATACCCAATAATGCTAATGTTGATCTTAATAAGACAGCATTTTGTAACCTGGGTAGGCTTGTGTGTGATGTGTTCAGTGGTGGCAGGAGGAGTTCTCCAAAAGCAACATAGTCATTTGTTAGCAGCAGACAAGTTGTGTGACGGAAGAGAGTGGTCAGGAGGCGCTCCGTAACCTGGCATCTTCTTATAGACAGAGTTTAAGTTAAGGTGGGTTATCACACATAGCCAACCCTAATCCCTTTTAAATGAAGGTTCTGTTTATAGAATATCAAGGTCAGGATTATAAATCCCAGAACAAATCACCAGGTATAATTAAAAGGAATAATGCCAGTTATATTTTCCAGTCATTCTCAGTACTTTAAACTTGGTCTCTGTACTCCTTGGACTTCTCACAGGTAAGTAGAGATAGAATCTCTGTGATCTAATAGTAACCCGTTTACTATAGGTCCTTTGTTTTTACCACTAGCTTGAAATACATACCAGTGTTACACATTGTATATGGCATAACAAACTAGTTAATTCTTTCAGTTTTGCACTGCTGTGTTCAACAGTGCTTCAGAAGTATTTCCAAAGAAATTTCCAACCTTATTTAGATAAATTCGCTTTGCCTTTCTCATTCTGTTTTTTTTTTGTGGTCAGTTTCTAGCAGTCATCTTCAGTTCTCCAATGAGAAATTTACAGGAATAGAGAGGTTTCTTGACAGGTCACAGAATATTTAAAATATATATATATATATATATATATATTTTTTTTTTTTCTTTATCACATAGCTTTGCAACAAAAAAAAAAATCTGATTCTGAGAGATAATGTACTTCCATCAAGGAAAGACAACAAAACAAAATGAAGTGCCACATGAACTAATCTTTCTTTTAAAGAGGTAGCACTCCGTTTTAAATTGAATACTTGTTAATGACTCCTTATAACGAACTTTAAAAATACCTAAATTAAGTTTAAAAAGAAAATGTTTACTGACAAGAAAAACGGAAAAAGGTGTTATGTTTTAGTACTGTTAACTAGAATATTTGTATTCTATCAGTACAGCCAATTACAGTAGTCAGTATAGTCAGCGGTATTTAACTAGCAGATATTCGGTATAGCTAAAAACAGTGGCTTGTAACACAACATACACAAAGCACAGTAAATAGTGAGACTAGCACAGAAACATCCAATTACAGAGGTTTATCAATTGCAGTAAAGCTGTACATAATTTTACTTTGAGAAACACACCAGGCTGGAAAAAAGGATAATTATACTTTGCAGGTAGAGAACAATTTCCTGACAAGAATCCAATTTATATTAAAAAATTGGGCTACATTTTTATGTTTTGATTTTCCAATGAAGGTGTAGGGAAAAAAGAATACAGACTTGTTTTTTTCCTCATTATTTGGTGGTCCTTCCTTGAAACTTTCCAAACCAAAGCCATTTCTCACATCTGGTTGGAACACAGATCTTTAAGACATTCAAGTAATTCAAATCAGATGTAAAAATCTAAGCTACACTATATGAAATTCAAGAACGATATAG